GTAATCCAGATCAGAATCCAAAAGGTACAGAACGGCAGGCAATCTCAGGGTCAGGGCAGGCAGAGGTCAATAATCCAGGGTGGTGTGACATGGTACAGAATGGCAGGCAGGCTCAGGGTTAGGGCAGGCAGAATGGTCAAAACCGGGAAAACTAGAAAACAGGAACATGAGAAAGACAGGAGCAAGGGGAAAACTGCTGGTAGGCTTGACGAAACAAAACGAACTGGCAACAGACAAACAGAGAACACAGGTATAAATACATTGGGGTAATGGGGAAGATGGGCAACACCTGGAGACAATCACAAAGACAGGTGAAACAGATTAGGGTGTGACAGTAACATATCATACGAATTGTAATTCGTAACATATCATACGAAATGGGTGATGGACATCCACAAATGAATACATACCATACGAAATGTAACATATAGTAAATGGAGTGTATCGGATTCAGATATGGCAGAGGAACTGTTTTTTTTTTTGAACTTTATAGATATTTTATCACTGTAGGCCTATCATTGTAATGGTTCTAGAGGAGGCTAGTCTGACTATTAGAATAAAAAGGTATAAGTAGTGAGGTTTAAAGTGACGATAATGAAGTAGGGTAATATTCAAAAATCTACAATCTCTTCAAGTTCAAATCCTGAATGCCTAAAGATCCATTTCCCGGCAGCGTCATGAAAAGTTGCCCGCAACGTTCGTCATCAGAAACCTCTTTGTTTACCTAGCAGTGGATAGGACCATACAGTATGCGACTTCAAATGCAGCAAGTGCAAGTTAACAAACGCGTAATCCGATGGTTATCTTCTACAACATTGTAGATGTCATCAGAGGATTGATTACCTAACAAGCCAGCGAGGCAAAGTAAAATATTACAAATAGATCTAAATAAAGCCAAAAGAATAATATACTTGTTGAAGATAGCTATAGCCATAAGTATTTCGTGTTTTCATGGTCATCACTCACTCACTGTTAAGTTTGTCAAGGTCCCGACATCAGCGTTAGCTGTCCTGCTAGACAGTCTATTGATTTTCGGGATGCACGCGCATAACTCAAACGTGACGTTTGATGGTAAACAGAAAATGGCTCTACACCAAATCTAAATATAGTTTATTATGCACTTGATTCATTATGTTGAACATAGGCCAATATACTGTAACATATGTAACCAGTGGTCCAATTTAAAGCTGTGTAAAACAGCAAGCCTAACCTTAACCATTAGGGGAAAATCCAAACTGACCCAACATCAACGTCTAGGGGCAACTTCACCCTACTCCAACAAGCTCAGCCTGGAGACGTTCTCTCTGTTGTACATTTGCTATTTTGTTCATCTCTGATGCTATTTACCGACAGGAGCTCCCTAGTTCCATAACAGAGGGCTTGATCAATTGAACATGTTGCAATCCTCAAGTTACATGTTCATAAAGCAAGACCACCATATGTTCATAAGTTATTGTGTGTTCATACTGTTTCGCGACCCTAGTACCGTAGTAGTTAGTAAAGTTCAATTTATCAGCACGCTAATTTTAGGACCGCAGACTGACAGTTTAGTTTAATTTTAGCACCATGAACAGCGGCCTAACCCACAGAGCCCTGGTTTTCCTATATATACAGTAGTATAAAGGTTGGTTTTATTAACGGTCTATATACTTTCAGTACAGCGGACAGAAGTTTATTTCAGCACCATAGACAGCAGCCTAACCCACAGCGCGCCACATAACAGTATTACCAAGTAAGCTTGCTTTATCTGTCTACTAGTTTCAGGGCCCACGGACTGACAGTTTAGTTTCAGCACCCTGGACAGCGGCCTAATTTACAGCACAGCGCGTCCGCACTACGTCACCTCTGTCTGTCTGTAGGGGTCGAAAACGTCGAAAGGGCAGATAGTGCTGCTGACATACTGTATACGATGCTGCAATATCACATTCTGATCTGTCTCGCCAATCTAATATCGCTATCATTCCTTGTAGCAAGGGCAGCTCGAGCATGGCAATTAGGAGTGTGCAATCTGCATAGGCTACATAAACGTCTTAATTAAATCCATTGGAGCGCGAGCGAAAGTGAGGGTGATCAAAGTTGTTTCATATTAGCATATTGACAAAAGCAAAATCTATTTACAGTTTGCCTTTTATACTGTTAAGGTTGCCTGCCTGCATCCGTGCAGGTGTGTGTCTGTGCGTGTGTCTTCTGCGTGCAGGTCCTTCATAGTCATGTGGTTAGGCCTAAACCTGCTATTCACCTTGCAATGTGACAACGAAGAAAGCAAAAGAAAAGACATGAATAGTGAATAGGCCTACCGAAGCAAGGTTTGTATTGTGTGAGATGGCCTAGTCCTTTGTATAGAGCTGCGAATACAAATCTCAAATCAGCTAAACATGAGGTGAATGACAACAACACTGGCTCATACACTATATATCCAAGAGTATGTGGACACCCCTTCAAATGAGTGCATTCGGCTATTTCAGCCACACCTGTTGCTGACAGGTGTATAAAATCGAGCACACAGCTTTGCAATCTCCATACACAAACATTGGCAGTAGAATGACCTTACTGAAGAGCTCAGTGACTTTCGACGTGGCACCGTCATAGGATGCCACCTTTCCAACAGGTCAGTTTGTCAAATTTCTGGCCTGCTAGAGCTGCCCCGGTCAACTGTAAGTGCTGTTATTGTGAAGTGGAAACATCTAGGAGCAACAATGTCTCAGCCGTGAAGCGGTAGGCCACACAAGCTCACAGAACGGGACCCCCGACTGCTGAAGTGTGTAGCGGATAAAAATCGTATGTCCTCGGTTGCAACACTCACTACTGAGTTCCAAACTGCCTCTGGAAGCAACATCAGCACAATAACTGTTAGTCAGGAGCTTCATGTAATGGGTTTCCATGGCCAAGCAGCCACACACAAGCCTAAGATCACCATGCGCAATGCCAAGCATCGGCTGGAGTGGTGTAAAGCTCGCCGCCATTGGACTCGAGGAGTGGAAACGCGTACTCTGGAGTGATGCATCATGCTTCACCATCTGGCAGTCCGATGGACAAATCTGGGTTTGGTGGATGCCAGGAGAACGCTACCTGCCCCAATGCATAGTGCCAACTGTAGAGTTTGATGGAGGAGGAATAATGGTCTGGAGCGGTTTTTCATGGTTTAGGCTCCTTAGTTCCAATGAAGGGAAATCTTAACGCTACAGCATACAATGACATTCTAGACGATTCTGTGCTTACAACTTTGTGGCAACAGTTTGGGGAAGTAATTTTCCTGTTTCAGCATGACATGACACCCCCGTGCACAAAGCGAGGTCCATACAGAAATGGTTTTTCGATATCGTTGTGGATGAACTTGACTGGCCTGCACAGAGCCCTGACCTCTGCCCCATCGAACATCTTTATGATGAATTGGCCTCCCGAGTGGCAGTGGTCTAAGGCACTGCATCGCAGTGCTAGCTGTGCCACTAGAGATCCTGGTTCGAATCCAGGCTCTGTCGTAGCTGGCCGCAACCGGGAGACCCATGGGGCAGCGCACAATTGGCCCAGGGTAGGGGAGGGAATGGCCGGCAGGGATGTAGCTGAGTTGGTAGAGCATGGCGTTTGCAATGCCAGGGTTGTGGGTTCGATTCCCACGGGGGGTATGAACAAAAATAAAATAATAATAATGTGTTTTTAGCCATTAACTGTAAGTATCTCTGGATAAGAGCGTCTGCTAAATGACAAAAAAATAAATATATATTTGGAACACTGACTGTGAGCCAGGCCTAATCGCCTAACATCAGTGCCCAACCTCACTAATGCTCTTGTGGCTGAATGGAAGCAAGTCCCCGCAGCAATGTTCCAACATCTAGTGGAAAGCCTTCCCAGAAGAGTGAGTGGAGGCTATTATAGCAGCAAAGGGGGGACCAACTCCATATTATTTCCCATGATTTTGGAATGAGATGTTCGACGAGCATGTGCCCACATACTTTTGGGCATGTAGTGTATTTCTCTCACTTTTATAGCTAGTGTCGCCCGGAGGCCACTGAATTGCAAAACTTGCTTTATTCACAACAACATCATATAATATCTTACAAGATTAATTTTGATTTCCTAAGTGGAACGTGCAGATTCATTCACTGGCACATAGCTATATCATTGCAAATCCCACATGGGCCCCTAGCTCACAGTGCATTGCACCCGTGCTTCTCTCCTTTGCGCTACAAGAGCTACAAGAGCTACGTTATAACCGACAACAAGTCATGGCACCGCAACGGTGCAAATAACATCAGATAACATAATGAATCGATGACATTCGTATAACGATACAATACCAGAGTCTCAAACGGTCTGCTGTGTCATAGATAGGCTAATTATATAAGTGTGATGAAATTCAATGGTCCTCCGCATACCATAACTGGTTGAATAGAATGCAAGTTCTCGTTTATTGTCATGAGTTTTGTCCTGGAGGCAGAACTGAGCTACTTTCCCTTAAACCAGCTGCAAAGTTGGATGTATTGTAAAAATTCATGAAAACAAAATTGAAGTTTAGGTTTAGGCATTAGGGTTAGCTGTGTGGTTAAGGTTAGGGTTAGGTTTAAAATCAGATTTTATGACTTATGCCTGTGCCCGCTATTGACCACTCCGCAAAGCTGCCTCCAGAACAAGATTAATGGCTAAAAACGCTAACCTGCGATTAGAATAGGACACTTCTTCTCAACGAGTAACAGGGCGGCGTTGAGGGAATATGTGCGGGAGGGGTGCGCACTGTGTAGTGCGAGAACGACAGCAGAGAGCGAGACAGGGTCGATTCTGCTCTCCATGCATGCAGCCCACCACTGGCAAGCTCCCCTCATCTTATGTGTGTAACGTCTCTACTGCCGGACAGCCGTACATACCAGCGTCCGCGGGCACTGCGGGGGAAAATTCAACCCATAATGGATTGCTAATGAACGGAGCCTCTCTTTTTCTTTTCGTCTTGTTTTCCCCCCGACTGTCATCCTCCTCAATGTCTCTTATCAGTTTTTAACCAAAACAAAATGAGGATTTCTTGTGACCAGTTTCTATTGATATTGTCTGTCTTTTGGGGACTCACAATGGGTGCTTTCCCAAGCAGTGTACAGATCGGTAAGTGTAGCCTACATCAGTGCTTGACAATCAAAAGGGCATGGACATTTGCCAATCTGGTTATGAAGCAGTAAATAAGATCTTGTTTTCATTATAGTTTATGTGACTGTGTTAGGAAATAGGCTACTTGTTCGTTGTTCATGATCACACAACATTTTCACATTGCAAAGTAGAATTGACTGAGAATTTAAAAGCGCCGACACAAACCTATTACTGTATTAAAATGACAATTTCAATTTGTTCCTAGTTGATTTTCTGTTTTTTCTCGTATGTGCACAAGGGAAATAGGTATTTATGGTCATACATAACTGTTCCAGTGCGGTCCTCAGCAGCCCGTGTCCGTTCAAAGCCCCACTGCAGCAGTAGCCTAGTGCTCTGAGCAGTGACTGGATGCTTCGCTTGGTCGGAGTGATTGGATCAGCAGCGGGAATTCTCTCAAAGTGTGTGTAGCCCTGCTGCAGTGCAAACTCGCCCCTGTTACATTCAGAAGATACCGTTCGCCTATTGCATAAACCCGTTTGTCATAGTCATACTGTTTCATATGTTGCTGGCTGGTTTCTTTGCCACTGAGAAAACACCAGAAGTGCGTTTATTCAAGCTAGAGCCTCTATCCGAACCCAGCTAAAGCACTGACTATATGTAGCCTAAAAGCCGCGCCGTGGTGGGATCTCTAAATCTCTGCTAGTGCCAAGTTCCCCCTGTCTTTTAGCCTTTAACTTACGGTAAATCCAATGCGTTAATATTACTGCTGAGTCGATCGAATTTGATTATTTATAGCTCAAGCACATCCGAACAAATCATGCTGAACGCAAATAAATTCCAACCGGGGTCGAATGAACTCTCTCTGTCGAATAGTAATGTTGAACTTAATACATGTGTGGTGTGTTTTAAAGCGATATTCCAATGGGTCACATTTCTATACCAGCTTGGTTGACCTTTTACGATTTCCAGGCAGGGTCCTTTGGGAGGGCCAATGTGTTAAGGTTATTGGCTGTGGCTCTTGTTTTCATCAAAATCATTTACTGTATGTGCAGTGTCAGACATCCCATTGCTCACTATCGCCATCTCTCTCTCTCTCTCTCTCTCTCTCTCTCTCTCTCTCTCTCTCTCTCTCTCTCTCTCTGTCTTTCTGTCTCTCTCTCTCTCCCTGCATTTGATTTAGCTATGTATGTATAGCTAAACGGTGACAATAAAGGATTTCAAAAAAACTACAAATATATAATACATATAATAATAAATACCTCACTCTCATCCCTCGCTCCCTTTCTCCCTCTCTCTGCAGGCGGCCTGTTCATCAGAAACACGGATCAGGAATACACAGCATTTCGCCTGGCCATCTTCCTGCACAATACCAGTCCCAACGTGTCAGAGGCCCCCTTCAACCTGGTGCCTCATGTGGACAACATCGAGACGGCCAACAGCTTCGCTGTCACCAACGCCTGTGAGTACAGACTGGCCAGATGCGGCCCAATTTCATGTTTTAATGGCTATCTTTGTCATTTGACCAGTCAAGTCAAACTCTGGTTGGGATGCCAGGGTGTTGGCATAACACAGTTGTGTCCATTGTTAGACTGTGATTGCAGAGGGTAAAAGCCCAGGTTGGGGTGGATGGAAGGGTGGTTGGGATTCGGATTGTATAATGGCATGAGAAAGGTTGCCCTTTACCATTGTGAGACTATAGTGGTATGTTACTGTATGCTATGGTGAGAGTGTGAGAAGATAGTGTGTCTGTGAGCCTTCTTTCTTTCTCTGTCACACATGTACACATGCATGACTCATACACACAGTCACACTATACAGTATGTCCCCCATGAACACTGCAGCATGACAGGACACTCTCTGGCTCCCTCCCAACTTCAACTCAGTGTGTGTGTATGTATGTGTTTGTGTGTATAGGTATGTGTGTGTATGTGTATGTATGTGTTTGTGTGTATAGGTATGTGTGTGTGTGTGTGTGTGTCTGTGTTTGTGTGTGTGTGTGTGTGTGTGTGTGTGCATGACACAAACTGTGATTCTTATCCAACTAGGCATTCTCTCGTCCTTGCATACATTTGAGCACGTACACACATTTATGTATGCACGTCTATGCAATGTCTGTGTGTGAGGTTGTTGTGGCAGGCTGTGCATGTTTCCCTTCATCGCTGTGGCTCAGCAGCAGGCAGCGAGGAGCAGTGTTGGCTAAGCCTGTCATTGTTTGTTTGTGGGGAGTGACTGCTGGTTGTGGTGGTGCATACCCTGTTGCTAACCTGAGGAGCCATGTGTTTCTGCCCTCCGGAGTGGGGATGGGGTGGGGGGACAGAATAACAGAGGCTTGTCCTGTCTTGCCCCCGGGTACGGCAGCAATCTGGTACTGGACGTGACTTTATCTACTCTGCTTTAGTATACACACACACCTTTCTCCCTCACAGTCAGGCTTTTATCTCTTCCCATCATCCTCAGCTGGGTTGGCTTCCTTAGTTAAGGTCAACATCTGCACGTTCTCAGTCTGTCTCTCCGCTCATGTCCTGTTGGTGGTTTGTATATAGTATAGTATAGTATAGTATAGTATAGTCACTGGCGGACTTACCATTAGGCAGAAGAAGCAATTGACTCTGGCCTCACATCATCAAGGGGCCTCATGAGCTGGGCCTAAAAAATAAACAAGTAAATACATTTGTCGGCTTACCGCATCTGTTGATGTTTGTCAGACCAGGAGACATCTCGAAAATCGGTCTTTTCACAAAAACGTCTGTAGCGTCGGTTTGACCTACAAATGAATATGTTAGTATGACCCCTCTATGGAAAGATGAGACTCTCCGTTCTGCTCTACTGGACTCGTCTGAAGGTAACCCGGTACCGGGCCCAAAAAAGAATGGAAGTGAATTGGGCATTTCCACGTCAAAGGTATACAAGTCATTTTTTCAGAACTTTCTTTTATCTCTCAGATATAAGACAGACACTTCAAAACATACTATCTTTTGATTAAATGTTGGACTATCTGTTTTTTCATATATTAATCTGTTATTCAATGCATTTCTATGGGCTAATAGCAGTAAGGCTATTATGTTTCATTAAAAAAAAAAATATATATATATCTTAATTATGCTTCGTCAGAAGTGTGCTCTATACATAAAATCAACATACAAACGATTTCCCTGCCACTGTCACGGAAACAGCCGAGGCTTCCCCTCCTCCTTGCTCGGGCAGGCTTCGGCGTTCGTCGTCACCGGAGTACTAGCTGCCACCGATCGATGTTTCTGTGTCACACTAGTCCTGTCTTTATTATTCACACCTGTTACTCATTAGGCTTATTGGTTTCCCTATATCACCTCTGTTTTCCCTCCTGGGTTTGTGCGTGATTGTTTGTTGTTACGTTGTCTGTTGAGCTGTTGTTTTGCTCTTCCCTGCGTGGAGGGTTTGTTATGGTTTACTTTGTGTTTAGTAAAGCCATACTTTTCTCAGTTCTGTGTCCTGCGCCTGATTCCGTTTCACCACTTCACCCAGACGCTGACAGCCATCCTCACCATAGAATGTAAAAATAATTGTCACGCGCTGTTGCACAACGACACTAATCTAATGAGCACTATTGGAGCTCCGCCCAAGCAAGGCATTTGATTGGTTTGACGTTTAGCGAGGCGTCACTGATTTATACCGGGTCTCCACCCCTATTTAGCTAGTTTTCTGCCATGAACTTCCCAAGGCTTACCCTATTAGGGAGGCCTGGTTCTCGATGAGGCTAGCTTAGTAGAAACCCAGCCCCGGGCGCTTAGACTCTAGGGGGAGGCAGAGGCAGAGGACATGTATGTGTAGCCCATGTGTCTGATGCTGTCTGGACAGAAAGAGTATGGCATGTCAGCATCAGATACATGGGCTACATATAGTAATATAAAGCCCATTAAAACATTTTATGCACACGTTTGGAGGGGCCTCCAAATTTTGTGCACGCCTGGGGCCTCCAAAGCACTAAGTCCGCCCCTCCGTATAGTACAGCCTCAACGATTAGGGTCTCAATGGTTAGGGTCACACAGTCGAGTGTTGTCACATTGAGCATTGGTTGGCAGTTGGGAAACAATCCATTCCATTCGGTGTTAGTTGAAAACGGATGCGTCACAGCCTGTGTTAGTGTCACATCGAGTCTCGTCACGTACTGTACTTGCGTGAAGTTGAAGGTTGTCGCATTGAATTGCATATTATGGCATGTCACTTCAAGTGGGGTTTCAATTCACTGCATTCTCACCAGCCCCCCATGGTTTACATTCTGTGCTCTAGTCTTTGTCTGTATCCCAAATGGCACCCTATTCTCAGTATTGTGCACTACTTTTGACCAGGGCTCTGGTCAAAAGTAGTGCACTACAGTATGTAGGGAATAGGGTGCTATTTAGGACGCATACTTTGTATTTAATTTCTATTCAATATGCTCATTCCCCCATCTCCCATTCACCATTGTATAACTGCTATCTACGGCTAGGCTATGTCCCATTCTTTATGGCTGTGTGTGTACCGACTTCTACGTTCCATGCTATCCCCAATACCCATGATTCATGTCGGACTTTCGTCTATTCGGTTCCATCCATTCTCTGTTGCTGTTCACTGCAGAGTCCATTTCTCTCTTCTGTCAATCCTCCATGTCTCTTACAGCATTTAATGTTGACCTACTAACTAAAGGCTATGTTCCATCCATTCTCTATTGCTGTGTGTGTAGCAGCAACATCCAATCCATGTCTCATATTTGGTGTTCATCTACTATAAGCTATATGTTCCGTTCTCTTTTGTTACGGTACAGCAGCATGCACTATCACATAATTTCTCTCTCTTTCCCACCAATGCCCATGTGATTTGTTGCTCTCTGGTTCTCTGGGGAGCAGTGTTTCTCTCATCTGTGTTTGGCCCCATGGCAGGTTCCCAGGACAGATGATATGGCTTCTGATGATCCCTCTCGCCCTCCAGGAGTCCATAAATACACCAGGCCCCCCGCCCTACCGCTTGTCTTTTATTATCAACGATGCGATATTAGAAAACCGATGGCTAAATTAAGCAGAGGATGAAGAGTTGTGTCTGAGACGTGTGTGTGAGGAATGGTGTGTGTGTGTGTGTGTGTGTTTGTGTGTGTTTTTACAGTGTGCGTGTATATGTGTGTTTATAGTGTGTGTGTATGCGCTTGTGCGTGTGTCTTCGTGCTTGTGTGTACACGTCTGTGTGTGTGCTTGTGTGTGTGTGTTTTTGTGTGTGTGTGTGTATGTGTGTGTGTTGTCGTGTGTGTGTTGCTCGGAGACAAAGAGAGAGAGGCTGTGACCTTCAGGACATGCTGGATGGCTGGAGAGTAGCAGTAGTGCGTTCAGTGGACCACGTCTCTTTCTCTGTGGTTCAACATTATTACTTTCCATCCCTCCAGTCTCACGCTGTTCTGCAGTGGTGTACAGTAAGGCTATGTCCCAAATGGCACTATTCCCTACATAGTGCACTACTTTTGACCAGGGTGCATACAGTACCAAGTCATGGGAGCTCTTGAAATGCCTTCCTACAGTATGAATCTGCTATATGTATTATATTGTATACTGTATATATGAGGGAGGATGCTAATTGTTTTATGAGCATGGCCTTATTTCTATTCCAGCATACTGGATGACTCATTCATATTCCATTCACCCAGCTCAATGTAACATCGATATATTTAGGCTACTACATGATACTCAAATATCCCTATACCCATCATGAGGATGCTACAACCTAGCCTATGAATGAACATTTACAACGTAGGTGCACAGGTCGAGATAATCTTTAGTAATCAGAGGTTTGTTACCTAAAAAAAGCCCGCGGCAAAGAAAAATTTTTAACAAATAATCTAAATAAACCAAAAGAAAAATATATTTTTTAAAGATAGCTATAGCCAAAATTATTTCGTGTTTTCATGGTCTCACCACTAAATTTTAAAGTTTGCCCAAGGTCCCAAAACGGGGTTAGCGTCCTGCTAACAGTCAAATTGTTTTTGGGAAATGCACCGCATAACTAAAACGTGACTTTTGAGGGAAAACCAAAAGGGGCCTCTACAACCCAAATCAAAATTTCCTTTTAATTGCACTTGTTTCCCTTAAATTTTTAAATAGGCCAATAACTGTAACATAATGAAACCCTTTGGCCCCTTTAAAAAGCTGGGGTAAACAGCAAGCCAACCCTTAACCATTAGGGGAAAATCCAAATAAACCCAACATAAAAGGGCTGGGGGCAACTTCCCCCTACCCAAACCCAAGCTCACCCCGGGAGACGTTCTCTCTTTTGTACTTTGCTATTTTGTTCATCCTGTGTTTTTTTTCCCGACGGGGAGTTTCCCGTTCCATAACAGGGGGCTTGATCAAGGGAACAGTTCAATCCTCAAGTTACATGTTCATAAAGCAAGACCACCATATGTTCAAAAATTTATGTGTTTTCATACTTTTTCCCCAAACCCTATACCGTAGTATTAGAAAAGTTCATTTATCAGCACGCTTTTTTTAGACCGCAGACTGCAGTTTATTTAAAAATTTAAAAGCACCATGAAAGGGGCCCAACCCCAGAGCCCGGGTTTTTCCTATAAAATACAGAGTATAAAGGTTGGTTTTTTTAAAAACGGTCTATATTTTTCCCATTTAAAAAGGGCGACAGAAGTTTTTTTCAGAAACCATAGAAAGCACCTACCCCACAGCGCGCCACATAACAGTATTACCAAAACCTTGTTTTAAATCGGTCTCCCCTATTTTTCGGGGCCCACGGACAAACAGTTTATTTTCCCAGCCCCCCGGACAGGGGCCCCAAATTTTAAAACACACAGCGGGGGTCCCACTACGTCCCCCTCTGCCCTGCTTTTGGGTCGAAAACGTCAAAAAGGGCAGATAGTGCTGCTAAAATACGTATACGATGTTTAAATTCAATTTTTTTATCTTTCCCCAATTAATATCGCAAATCTTTCCCTTGTAGCAAGGGCAGCTCGGCAGGGCCCAATTGGGAAAGTGGGAAATCTCATGGCAAACATAAAGTCTTAATTAAATCCATTGGAGCGCGAGCGAATGGGGGGTGTTAAAAGGTTGTTTCATTTTAGAAAGGGGGCAAAAGCAAAACCCTATTTCAGTTTCCCCTTTTTTTTTAAAGTTCCTGCCTCACCCCCGGTCAGGGGTGTGTCTGTCGGGGTTTTTCTGCGGGGCCAGCCCTTTCATAGCCCCTTTGTTTTAGGGCCTAAACCTGCTTTCCCCTTTGCAATGTAAACCCAAAAAAAAAAAAGACTGATATAAATGGGCCCCTACCGAAGAAAGGGTTTTTTTTGTTTTGTGTGAGTTTGGCCTACCCTTTTTGAAATAAGCTGCGAATACAAATCTCAATCACTAAACATGAGGGAATGAAAACAACACTGGCTCATACCTATATTCCAAAGAAATTGGACCCCCCTTCAAAGGGTTTCTTTCGGCTTTTTCACCAAAAACCCCTTTGCTAAACGGGTGTATAAAATGGGCACACGCTTTGAAACCCCTCCATCCCAAAACCCTTTGGCATTAGAAGACCTTAGGGAAAGCTCATTGATTTTTCGACGTGGCACCGTCATAGGATGCCATTTTTCCCAAAACCGGTCGTTTGTCAAATTTCTGGCCTCCCTTAGCTCCCCCCGTAAACTGTTTTTTCTTTATTGTAAAGGGAAAAACTCTAGGGCAAAAATGCCCTTAAAGCCGTAAAAGCGGGGGCCACAAAAGCTCACAGAAGGGAAAACCCCCCGATTTCTAAAGTTGGGGGGGAAAAAACTCGAAATGTCCCGGTTGCAACACCACTACGGGTTTTCCAAACTCCCTCTGGAAGAAACCATCAGCCCCAATAACTTTTCATGGAGTTTTCATGAAATGGGTTTCCATGCCAAACAGCCACACCCAACCCTAAGACCCCCCTTCCCAAATCCCAACATCGGCGGGATGGTGTAAAGCCCCGCCGCCATTGACTCGAGGAGTGGAAACGCGTCTCTGGAGTGATCTCATTTTTCAACCTTTCTGGCGTCCGAGGGAAAAATTCGGGTTTGGGGGAATGCCGAGAACGCAAACCTCCCCCAAGGGGGAAATAGTGCCAACTGTAGATTTTTGATGGGGGGAAAGGAAAATAATGGGGGGGAGGGGTTTTTTTCATGGTTTTTGGGGCTCCTTTTTCCCAAATTAAGGGGAAAAATCTTAACGCCCCCGCATACAATGACTTTTTTGACGTTCGGTGCTTAAAAAACTTTGGCAACTTTTTGGGGAAGTAATTTTTTCCTTTTTTCCGCATGACATGACCCCCCGTGCAAAAAGCGGGGTTCCATACAAAAAGGGTTTTTCGATATGGGTTTGGGTTTAATTTGGACGGGCCTGCACAGACCCTGACCTCTCCCCCATCGAAATCTTTAATTTTAATTGGCCCCCCGAGGGGCAGGGGTTTAAAGGCATTTGCATCGCAGTGTTTCCTTTGCCACTAAGATCCTGGTTTCGAATCCAGGCTCTGTGGGTAGCGGGCCCCGAAACCGGGAGACCCAGGGGGCACGCCCAATTGGCCCGGGTGGGGGGGGGAAAAATGGCCGGGGGGATTTTATTTTGGTTTGGTAGAGCTTGGCTTTTGCAATCCCGGGTTTTGGGGGGGTTCGTTCCCCAGGGGGGGTATGAAAAAAAATAAAATAAAAATAATGTTTTTTTAAAGGCCTTTAAACTGAAAAGTTTTTTGGGATAGAGCGCCCCGCAAAATGACAAAAAAAATAAATATTTGGAACACTAAACTGTGGCCACCCAACCCCCCAAACCTTCAGTCCCAAAAACCTCCCCTTAATGCTCTTGTGGCTGAAGGGAAAAGCAGTCCCCCCCAAAATTTCCAACATCTAGTAAAAACCCTTCCCAGAAGGGTGTTTGGAGGTATTATAGCAAAAAGGGGGGGACCAACTCCATTTTAAAATTTCCCATGTTTTTTGGGAATAAATTGTTCCAGCAGGGTGCCCACATATTTTTGGGGCATGTATGTATTTCTCTCACTTTTTTTCCTTTTGTCCCCGGGGCCACTAAATTTTAAAAAAACTTGCTTTATTCACAACAACATAGAATATTTTACAAGTTTAAATTTTTTGATTTCCAAATTTAAACGGGCAAATTCTTCACTGCACATAGCTATATCTTTGCAAATCCCACGGGGCCCCTAGCTCCCAGGGGCTTAAAACCCGTCTTCTCTCCTTTGCGCTAAAAGAGCTAAAAGAGCAAACTTTTAACCGACAAAAAAGCCCCTGGCAACCGAAGGGTGAAAACAACATCGAAAACAAATTTAATCGAGACTTCGTAAAACGATACAATCCCAGACCCCCAAAAGGGTCTGCTGTGTCTTTGTAGGCTAATTTAAGTGTGATAAAACCCCAATGGTCCTCCGCATACCATAACTGGTTAAATAGAATGAAATTTCCGTTTATTGCCCCATAAAGTTTTGTCCCTGGAGGCAAAACTACCCATTTTCCCTTAAACCACTGAAAAATTTGGATGAAATTGAAAAAATTCATAAAAACCAAAATTGAATTTTTGGGTTTTAGCTTTAGGGTTAGCTTTTTGGGTTAAGGTTAGGGTTATTTTTTAAAAACCCGATTTTTGACTTAGGCCTTGCCCCTTTTTAAACCCCTCCCCCAAAGTTTCCTCCAGAAAAAGATAAGGGCAAAAAAACCCAACCCCTTGCGTTTAGAATGGGAAACCCTTCCTAAAGGGAAAACAGGGCGCGTTGGGGAAAAATGTGCGGGAGGGGTGCGAAACTGTTTATTGCGAGAACGCAGCAAGAGCGAAAGGGCGTTCGGGCTTTTCCATCCCTCACCCCACCCTGGCAAGCTCCCCTAAATCTTATGTGTGTAACTCTCTACGGGCCGGAAAAACCGTACATCCCACGCCGGGGGCACTGCGGGGGAAAATTCAACCCAAAAAGGGAAGGGCAAAGGGAACAGCCTCTCTTTTTTTTCGTCTTGTTTTCCCCCCCCGACTGTCCTCCTCCTCAATGTCTCTTTAAATTTTTAACCAAAACAAAATGGGGTTTTTCCCTTGTGACCATTTCTTTTGATTTGTCTTTTTTTTGGGGACCACAATGGGGGGCTTTCCAAGCAGTGAAAGATGGGGAAATGTAGCCTACATCATTTCCCTTGACATAAAAAGGGGCCCATGGACATTTGCCAACGGGTTTATAAGCAGTAAAAAAACGTTTTTTTTTCATTTATTTTTATGTACGTGTTGGGAAAATGGCACTTTTCTTTTGTTCATGTCACAAAAACCTTTTTCACTTTGGGAAAATTAAAAATTGACTGAAATTTTAAAAAAGCGCCGACAAAAACCTATTACTGATTAAAATGACAATTTAAATTGTTCCTAGTTTGATTTTCTTTTTTTTTCTCGTATGGGGCAAAAGGGAAAATAGGTTTTTTATGGCCCCTTCCCTAACTTTTTCCGTGGGGGCCCCTCACCCCCGTGTCCGTTCAAACCCCACTCCCGCAGTACCTAGTCCTGAGCAGTGCCCTGGATGCTTCCTTGGCCCGGAGTGTTTGGATCACCCAGGGGGAATTCTCTCAAAGTGTTTTTCCCCCCCTGCTGAAAGGGGCAAACTCGCCCCTGTTACATTCCGAAGATCCGTTCGCCTATTGCAAAAACCCTTTTTGTCATAGCCCAAAAGGGGGTTTCATATTTTGCGGCTTTTTTTCTTTGCCACTGAAAAAACACCAAAGGGGCGTTTTTATTCAGCTAGAGCCTCTTCCGAACCCCCCCAAAAACCCCCTGACTATAGGGTACCCCTAAAGCCGGGGCCGTGGTGGGATCTCTAAACTCTGCTAGTCCCAAATTCCCCCTGTCTTTTACCCTTTAAAAATTTTCCCGGAAAAATCAATGCTTTTAAATTTACGGGTTTAAGTCGATCGAATTTGATTTTTTTATACTCAAGCACTCCGAACAAATCTTTTGCTGAACGCAAATAATTCCAACCGGGGTCAAATTAAAACCTCTTCTCGGTCAAATAGAATGTTAAATTTAAAAACATTGTGGTGGTTTTTAAAGCGATTTCCAGGGGTTTCACTTTTCCCTATACCAGTTTGGGTTTGCCCTTTTTAAACTTTTCCCCGCAGGGTCCTTTGGGGGGGCCAAATTTTTTAAAGGGTTTTGGCTGTGGCCTTGTTTTCAAAAAAATCTTTTTACTGTTGGGGCATTGCCCCAGAAAAACCCCTTGCTTCATTTATCGCCTCTTCCTCCTCCCCTCCCTCTCTCTCTCCCCTTTTCCCCTCTCTCGTTCTCTCTCTCTCTGTTTTTCTGTCTTCTCTCTCCCCCGGCATTTGATTTAGCTATGTATGTATCAAAAGGGTGACAAAAAAGGGAAATTTAAAAAAAACTCCCAAATATATAATCCATAAAAATAAATCCCTCACCCCCTCATCCCCCTCGCTCCCTTTCCCCCTCTCTCTGCCCCGGGCCTGTTCTCAGAACACGGACCCGGAATACCCAGCATTTCGCCTGGCCATTTTCCTGCAAAAACCCATTTCCCCCAACGGTCAGACCCCCCCCTTTAAACCCCTGGTGCCTCATGTGGCCCACATCGCGAGGGCCAAACACCTTCGCTGTAAACCCAACGCCTGGGGTTACAGACGGGCCCCAGTTTCCCCCAAATTTTTAAATTTTTTAAGGGCTATCTTTGTCTTTTTGACCATCATTAAAACCTGGTTGGGATGCCAGGGGGGTTTTTGGAAATAAAAACAGTTTGTCCATTGTTAGATTTGTAAATTGCAGAGGGTAAAAGCCCAGGTTGGGGGTGGAGGGAAAGGGGGGTTTGGGGGTGGGATTGTAAAATGGCATGAAAAAGGTTCCCCTTTTTACCTTTGTGAGAAATAGTGGTATGTTATTTTGTATGTTTAGGTGAGAGTTTTGAGAAATAGTGTGTCTGTGACCTTCTTTTTTTTGGGGGGGCCCCTTTACACAGCATACTAAAATTTAACAACACAGTAAACCACATCCCGGGATGCCCCCCCAATAAACACTGCACCAGACGGACACTTCTGGCTCCCTCCCAATTTCAACTCAGTTGGGGTGTTTGGTTGTTTTTTGTATAGGTTGTTTGGGTATGTGTATGTATGTGTTTGTTGAAATAGGTATTTTTTGTTTGTTGTGTGTGTCGGGTGTTTGTTGTGTTTGTGTGTGGTGGTGTGGGCATGACACAAACTGTGATTTTTAAACCCAAACTGGCATTCCCCCTCTTTCCTTTTAAAAAATACATTTGGAGCACACAACTTTATGTATGCCTTTCTATGAAATGCCCTGTTTGTGAGGTTTTTTGTGGCACTTTTGCTGTTTCCCCTTAAATCGCTGTGGTTTCCGCAGCAGGCACCCGAGAGCAGGGGTTGGCAAAGCGGAAATTTTTTTGTTTTGGGGGAGGGACGGCTGGTTGGGGGTGGTGCATCCCTGTTGCTAACCTAAGGACCCGGTGTTTCTGCCCTCCGGAGGGGGGTTTGGGTGGGGGGACAAAAATAACAAGGCTTGCCCCTTTCTTCCCCCCGGGAAAGCAGCAATCTGGTACTGGACGTGACTTTATCTCTCTCCCTTTAGTATCACACAAACCTTTTTTTCCCCTAAACATCCGGCTTTTTTTTCCTCTTCCCACATCCTCATCGGGTTTTGGGGCTTCCTTATTTTTAAGGGTCAAATCTGAAAGGGTTTCTCCCCTGTCTCTCCGCTCTTTCCCTTTTGGGTTGGTTTGTTTTTAAGTATAGTATGTTGTATATATTTCACGGGCGGATTTTACCTTTTGGGGGCCAGAAAAGCAATTGCCCTCTGGCCCCCACATCATAAAGGGGCCTCTTTACGGGGCCTAAAAAAACCAATAAATAAAAATTTGTGGGTTTTAACCGCATCTTTTTGATGTTTGTCAGACCAGGAACACCCTCAAAAAATCGGCCCTTTTCCAAAAACCCGTCTGTGGGGGTTTTGGTTAAAACCTAAAAATAAAATATGTTAGTTTTACCCCTCGGGGGAAAGATAAAACCTCTTTTTTTCGGGCTCTACGGACCGTCTGAAAACCCCGGGGGTTCCCCGGGCCCCAAAAAGAAGGGAAAGTAAATTTGGGGCATTTTCCCGCCCAAGGGGTATACAGTCTTTTTTTCCCGAATTTCTTTTAATCTCTCAGATATAAGACACATTTTAAAAACCATCTACTTTTGATTAAATGTTGGACTATTTTTTTTTTCCTATTAATCTGTTATTAAATGCATTTCTTTGGCTAATACAGTAAGGCTTTAAATTTTTCATTAAAAAAAAAAAATATATTTTATTTTAAATTTTTCTCGTCAGAAGTGTGCTCTATCCCATAAAATAAACATAAAAAAACGATTTCCCTGCCACAAAAAGGGAAAACGCCAGGTTTCCCCTCCCCCTTCCCGGGGGCAGGTTTGGGGTTCGCCCGTAAACCGGGAACTAGCTGCCACCATCGTTTTTTCCCTTGTCACACTAGTCCTTTCTTTATTATTCACCCCCCCTTTTTACTCTTAGGCTTTTTTTTTCCCTAATCCCTCTTTTTTCCCCCCCTTTGGTTTGTGCCGTGATTTTTTGTTGTTACTTTTTCTTTTTGACTTTTTTTTTGCTTTTTTCCCTGCGGGGAAAGGGTTTGTTAGGTTTCCTTTGTTTTTTAAACCCATCCTTTTCTCATTCCCTGTTCCTGCTCCCTGATTCCTTTCCCCACTTCACCCAACGCTGACAGCCATCCTCACCATAGAAGGTAAAAAATTTGTCACCGCTTTTTCACAAGACACTAATCTAAAAGCACATTTGGGCTCCCCCCAAAAGCAGGCATTTGTTTGGGTTTTAAACGTTTGGGCGGGTTTCCCCTGATTTATACCCGGGCCCCAAACCCCTATTTATTTTAGTTTTTTTTGGCCTAAATTTCCCCAAGGGCCCTACCCCTTTTAAAGGGAGGCCGGGGTTCCGTTTAGGCTAGCTTATTAAAACCCCCCAGCCCCGGGCGCTTAGACTCAAATGGGGGGGCCCAGGGGCCAGGACTGTTGTGTACCCATGTGCCCTGATGCTGTCGGGCCCAAAAAGAGAAAGGGCATGTCAGCATCAATAGGGGGGCTACATATGTAAAAAAACCCCCAAATTAAAAACTTTTTTTTGCCACTTTGGGGAGGGGCCCCCCAAAATTTTGTCCCCCCTTTGGGCCCCCCAAAGCACTAAGCCCCGCCCCCCCGTATGAAACACCCTCAACGATTAGGGTCTAAAGGGGTTAGGGTCACAAAATTCGAGTGTTTTTCACATTGAGAAATTGGTTGGCATTTGGGGAAACCCAACCCCTTCCCCATGGGTTTAGTTAAAAACCCCGGAAATGCGTCCAGCCTGTGTTATTGTCCATCTCGAGTCTCGTCACGTACTGTACTTGCTTGAATTGAAGGTTGTCGTTAAATTGATTTAAAATTCCCAATGTCCTTAAAGGGGGGGGGTTTCAATTCCATTTGAAATTCCACCCCCCCCTGGTTTACTTCTGTGCTCTAGTCTTTTTTTTTTCCCCCCAAATGGCACCCTATTCTCAGATTTTGCACTACTTTTTGACCACCCCTCGGTAAAAATATGCAACTACAGTATGTAGGGAATGGGTGCTATTTGGGGACGCAAACTTTGTTTTTAATTTCTTTCCCAAAAATCTCTTTTCCCCCATCTCCCCCATTAAACCATTTTAAAAACCCTGCTATCAACGGCGGCTTCCCCCTTTTTTATGGCTTGGGGTGAAACCCGACTTCCTTTCCCAAATTCAACCCCCAAATCCCAGTTTCATGTCGGACTTTCGCTATTGGGTTTTCCACCCTTTCCCTCTTTTTTGCTGTTCACGCGATTCCTTTTCCTCTTCGGGTAAATCCCCATGTCTCTTAAGCTTTTAAATGGGGACCTCCCAAACAAAGGCTTTTTTCCACCCTTCTCTTTGCTGTGTGTGTAGAAAGCACACCATCCATGTCTCATTTTTTGGTTTTTCATCTACTAAAAAGCTATATTTTCCCGGTCTCTTTTGTTACGGTACCCCCCCCTTTTTTTTTTCTCTTTTCCCCCAACCCATGTTTTTTTTCTCTTTTTTGGGGGGGTTTTTTTTCCCCTTTTTTTTTCCCCCCGGGGGGAAAAGGGGGGTTTTTTTTTCCCCCTCCCCCCAAAAAACAACCCCCCCCCCCTAAACCCTTTTTTTTTTTTCCCTTTTAAAAAAAAAAAGGGAGGGGAAAGGGGGTTTTTTTTTGGGAAGGGGGTTTTTTTTTTGGGGGTTTTTTTTTTTGTGGTTTTTTTAAAAAATTTTTTTTTTTTTTTTTTTTTGGGGGTGGTTTTCCCTTTGGGCCTTTTTTAAAACCCCCGTGTGTGTGCTTGTGTGGGTGGGGTTTTTTTTTTGTGTGTGGGGGGTGTGTGTTTCGTTTTGGGGGGTTTTTGGGAAAAAAAAGGGGGGGGGCCCCCCCAAAATGCTGGATGGGGAGGGAAAAATTTTTTGGGCCACGTCTCTTTTCCCCCAAATTTTTTTTCCCCCCCCTTTTCCCCTTTTGGGAAATGGTTTAAAAAGGGGGAAAAAAAACCCCCCTGGTTTTTTTCCGGGGGAAAAAAGGGGGTTTTTCCCCCCCCAAAATTTTTTTTATTTATTTTAAATTTGGGGGGGGCAAATTTTTTTTTAAAGGCCCTTGGTTTTTTTTTTAAAAAATTTTTTTTTCCCCCCCCCCCCTTTTTTTTTTTTAAAGGGTACTAAAATCCCAAAAACCCAAAAATTTCCCCCCTAAATGAAAATTTAAAAGGGGGGGCCTTTTTTTAATAAAAGGGGTTTTTAAAAAAAAAAAAGGGCCCCCCCCCCCAAAAAAAGGGGGTTTTTTTCCCCCCCCGGGGGGGTTTTTTAAAAAATTTTTTTTTTTTTTTCCCCTTTCCTTTTTTAAAAATTTTTAAAAAAACCCGGGGGAAAAAAAAAAATTTTAAAAAAAAATTTTTTTCCCTGCAAAAAAAAAGGGGGAAAAAAAAAAACCCCAAAAACCCCCCAACCCCCTTTTTTTTTTGCAACCGGGGGCCCCCCCGGGGGGAAAAAATAAAAAAAAAATTACCTTTAAATTAAAGGGGGGAAAACCAAAAATTTTCCTTTTTCCCCTTTTTTTTTTTTTAAAAAAAGGGGAAAAAAAAGGAAAAAATAAAATTTTTTTTCCCCCTTTTTTTTTTTTTTTTTTCTTTTTTTCCCCCCCCAAAAAATTTTTTTTTTTTTTTTTTTTTTGGGGCCCACCCCCCTTTTGGGGAAACCTTTTTTTTTTAAAATTTTTTTTCCCCCCAAAAAAAAAGGGGAAAAAGTTTAAATTTTGGGGGGGGAAATGGTTTTTAAGGGGAAAGGGAAAAACCCCCCAAAAAAAAAATTTTTCCCCCCCCCCTACCCCTTTTTAACCCCCCAAAAACCCCCAAAAAAAAAGGTTTTTCCCCTTTTTTTAAAGGTTTTTTTAAAAAAAATTTTTTTTTAAAAATTTTTTAATTTTTTAAAAATTTTTTTTTTTTTTAAAAAAATTTTTTTTTTTTTTTCCGGGGGTTTTCCCCCCCCCTTTTTTTTTTGGGTTACTTTTTTTTAAAAAAAAAAAATTTTTTAAAATTTTTTTTTTTTTGAAAAATTTTTTTTTTTCCCTTTTTATTGGGTTTTTTCCCCTTTTTTTTCCCCCTTTTTTTTTAAAAAAGGGGAAAAAAAATTTTTTTTTTTAAAAAAAAAAAAGGTTTTTTTT